TATAAATTTGTGCAACCAGAACTACAACCAAGATAATAAATATAACCATCACCTCTAAAAGTTCTCTTGTATCCTCTTGCTCCACTGGCCACTTCCAAAAAACCCAATGATCTGCTGTCACTAAAGCAGGTAGTCCTTACTTTGCACAGTGGTATTGTACTGTAAAAATGACTGTGCAAACTGAGACTGTGAAAAGCAATCTTAATAATCACTGGGGAAACTATGATTTTTCAGTGACCTTTAAAATTTTTGTCAAAACATTTTACTCTCTTATTGTTGGCTATACTATATAGGGAAATAAAAAATATTAAAACCAATATGCATTTAATACCCTATCATTTGAAACACTGAGAATTTAAACTCTTTTACCTTTTTGTAAAACTTATCAAGAGTACAGTGCTTAACTCTTAATTAACAAAACTTATGAAACAGAATAAGCAACTCTTCTATGTCCTGGAAAGTTGTCATACTACTGTATGAACTTGGATTAGTTTCCAACATTTTGTCCTTTGTGCTTTCACTGCTGTAAAATTTTTTAAGAGTTCCTTTAATGTGCAGTTTCATTCTGGCATCATTTTATCTGGAACATCTTCATTCTTTTCATCACAATCACTTTCTTCATGTTTGTATGTTTGCCTTCATTAAGTTCCTCTAGCTGCATATCTAGAGCCTCTCAAACTGCAACAGTGCATCCACATTCCCATGTTCAACTATTTATTCTATAACTACATTGAGTTTAATTCAAATTTCTAAGTTTTCTCAGTATTTATCAGTTTTATCAGTTTTTATCAGTTTTATCAGTTTTTATTTCTTTAAATGTTTGGTAGAATTTCCCAGTGAAACCATCTGGGCCTGGAAGTATTTTTATGGAGAGGTTTTAATTACAAATTCAATTTCATTAATAGTTATGGGGCTATTCAACTGATTATTTCACATTGAGTAAGTTGTGGTAATTTGTTTGGATAAGCCCCAGGAAGGCAGGAAAAACAAAAGAGAAAAAAAACAAAACAGAGAACACTCATATACACACACAATAAAATAAAACAGCAGACTTAAGCCCTAACATATCATTAATTACATTAAATGTAAATGGTCTAAACACATTAAATCAGAGGTTGGCAGAATGGATTAAAAAACATGATTCAAATATATGCTATCAAAAACACTTAAGATATAAGCATATAAATAAGGCAAAAGTAAAATAAAGGAGAAAGATATAAATACAAACATTACTCAAAAGAAAGCAAGAGTGACAACATTAATATCAGATTAAGTGACTTTCATAGCAGAGAAAATTACCAGAGATGGGGAGGAATATTACATAATAAAGAAAGGATAAATGCACCAATAAAACATAGCAATCATAAATGTATGAGCACCAAACAACAGTGCTGCAAAATATTTGAAACAAAAACTGATTGGGATGAAAGGAGAAAAAATAACTTCCCAATTATGGCTGGAGACTTCAACCTTTGTGATAGAACAGACAGAAAATCATCCAGGAGATAGAAGAACTCAATACTATCAACTAACAGGATTGAACTGACATTTATAGAATACTCCACCCAACAGCAGCAGCACAGGCATTATTTTCAAGCACCCATGGAACATATACCATGGTAGACCATATCTTAGGCCATAAAATAAAACTCAACCAATTTAAACAAATTGGTATTATACAGAGTGTTCTCTAATACAATGGAATCAAAACTAGAAATCAGTAATAGAAAGATAAGAACATACTCAAATAAAGTAAAAACCACACTTTTAAATAAAAGAAGTCTCAAGGGGAAAAAAGTGAAAAAAAGTCTCAAAGGAAAAAAATACACTAAAGTGAATGAAAATGAAAATATAACACATCAAAAGTTTTGTGACATAGCTAAAGCAGTGATGAGAGGGAAATTTATAACATTAAATGCTCATATTGGAAAGTGGAAATGTCTCAAATCAATAAGCTATGCTCCCAATCCAAGAAACTAGAAGAGCAAAATAAATCCAAAGCAAGTAAAATAATCAAAGTAGTAGAGATAAGAGCAGAAATAAATTAAAAATTTAAAAAAATTAAAAACAGAAAAGATAATGAAACCAAAGTCCAAATTCAGATTTACATCCTACAATTTATCATGTCAAGGGTCTGCTATAATACCTGGCTGCAGTGAAGCATTTACCACTGGTTTATTGTGATTATCATGGCCACTCCTGAAGGAAGAATGTTATTTATGTATGGCTGTAGCACCAAACAGACAGTGTGGCATATGAATGACAATGCAGCTTCATGTGATGTTGTGGAACATGTGAGATACAGAACATTGCCTAAGATTCTGAGCCATACTGCCCCAGCATTTTGCACGAGCAGCTATATGGCTTTGCAGTAGAAAAATCTAAAGAATCTACTGCATGTGTTGTAGTTTGGAGAAAGATAGAAGCACAAAGAAGCTATACCATGGAGAGTACTTTGTGTGGCTGTGATCAGGGAACATATAAGGGTTTACAGATTGGTATTTGAGAATTGGAAGAGATGGGGGCAAAATTTTGTGTTGGCCTATCGTGTTTGAAAAGACTGATATCCTCATTGGAATATAATCTGCCTTCCAGTCTGCTTGACTTTGAAAATGACTTGATTGAATGGAGCTGCAGAGTAACTAGCCCCCCCCCCCCCACTTAAGTTTTGGATGAAGATGAACCTTGATTCCTTGAAGGAACAGATTACAGTATAGACAGTAATGATGAGTTAGATACCGAATTGACTGAAAATGCAAGAGACTATGAACCTTCTGCCCAAGAAGAAGTACTGTCTGACTCTGAATCAGGAACCCTTTGATTTAGAGGGTTGAGCTCTTTGCCATCTCTTGTTAATTGCAAAGAAGAAATGAAATATCTTGGTTTTTATTACACAGCAAGTTTGAGAGAAATGAGTTTAAAGAGAGCTGACTCAGATAAACAGAAAGCAACTTGGGCCTGTTTGGTTTCAAGACAATGAATATGTTTATTAATTCATGATAAAAAGATGGCTTTGTGAAATGGTCAATAAAAATGACCAACCTATAGCAAGTAAAAAAGGAGATAAAAATGGCCAATATCAGATATGAAAGAGGGGGGATATACTACTGTTTCTTTTGCTTTAAGTGTGTTCATAATTGCTCACTGAAGCATTTTTATGATGGCTCCTTTTAAATCTTTGTTAGACAATTCTACTGTCTCTGTCACATCAGTACTGGCAGCTACTGATTATCTTTGATCAAGTTGGGATCTTTTTAGTTCTTGATATAAGCGATTTTTTTCCACTGGAACCTGGACACTGGGTATTATGCTACAAGACTCTGGATCTTCTTTAAACCTTTTATTTTTACTGGCTTCCTCTGACATTGCTCTGGCTGGAGATCTGGTTGGGGAGGATATCATCTCATCACTGTTAGGTGATTGTAGAAGTCCTGGTTCACCATTTGGCCTATGTTGACATTCAGGGGCAGGAATTCTTTGTTACTACTGGGGGAGGCTGAGAGTTCTGGCTTCTCACCAGGCCTCCACTGATACCTCCCTTGCTGGGATTGGTAAGATAACCTTACTACTGCTCCCTATATGGTCTTCACTGATACCATGTGGCAGGGGGAGAAGGTGTCCTCATCACCTCTAAGGAGTGGTGAAAGTCTCTGATACTACCACAGATGGGAAGGAAAGGGATGCATGATTACTACTGGTTTAAGGTGGTAGTCTAGGCTCCTCACTGTTCTGCATCAGTATATGAAAATACTGACAGTAAAGACATGAAAATGTCATGAAAATGTTCATTCATGATACTGTTGTGATTTCTAAGAGGATGGTGGCAATGACGATGAGCTAGTGAGGGTAAGTATGTATGTTGGGCAAGACTGAAATTTTTCTTAACAGAGAATAGACAGTCTCTCTGTGGGTGGGACAACCCGGGCTTGCATTTTTAGAAGTGATTTGACAGCATTTCTGGAACATGACTGAGACCTAAGAACCTGCTGCTGCTAAGTCGCTTCAGTTGTGCCCGACTGTGTGTGACCCCATAGACAGCAGCCCATCAGGTTCCTCTGTCCCTGGGATTCTCCAGGCAAGAATACTGGAGTGGGTTGCCATTTCCTTCTCCAAGAACCTGATGCTAGGGGCCAAAAATTCAAGAATGTGGTCTCTGATCTTTAAGAACCTAATATGTACTAGAACTAGACAGCTGAACAATGAGATGTACAATTTCTCACAGTAACCAGGAGGTCCCACCAGCCCTTTTATCTGATGCTATTCCTTCTTTTCCTTCCTTCCCTCACTCATTCATTTAAGCTTATACCAAGCATTTTATTTCATGCTGGCCTTCATGCAAAACACTCGGAACACAAAGACCAGTAAGAAAAAATGGCTTCCAAAACTAGTCATTACTCTTGAAGAGCTAAACTTACTATGTCCTCTTGGCAAAAAATACTCTCCTACTTAAACTTCTTCTCAAGTCTTTGCAAAGGAAGGCTGTGTGCTTATGGTCAACCCAATTATTCTAGTTATCCCCTTTCATTTGGGTTGATGCATTTTACAAACTGTGTATGTTTTGGCCCTCTGTTTACAGATGCTATCACTATGAGGCCCCTATTAAAATGAAGCAACTTCTCATGGCGTTATATATTAATAGGGTTATTATGGGGTTATGTAATTAGTGCTCTGTTTCTCTTCAAAGGCTAATAAATGCTACTGATTGTTGAGTCAGACTGGGAAATCTTGGTCTCCAAAACCTTATCATAATTTCAGACTGGACTTCCAATAGTTTTATCCTGTGAATAGGTATATATTATATCCTTAAATAAAGAGTCTGACTGACTACTGACCTATCTTAGTTTGGTATAATCTGCCATTGGTCTGAGTGAGTTGCTGAACATGTATGTAACTCAGCATTATAAATGTATAGTTAGCCACTCAAAGTCTCCCCTCAAGCAGCTCACAGACGACCATAAGAGCATTCATCCCCTAAATCAAAGATACAACCATGAAAATACCTGACGGAAGGCTGTGGAAGAGTGTCTGGATTGGCTGGTACTTGGACCCCCTTTTCCCATTCTTCCTTCCATGTATCCGTGAAGAGGTAATAGCTGTCAGGGTTAATATGGTGAGAGTCTGGAATCTTCATGGCACTGATAAGGTCCTTCCGGAATACCTGGTAAGACATTGCACACACCTTGAGAAGACCATCACTATGAAATTAACACCATTTAATGTTCTCCTTTTAAAAAGACCATCCCCACCCACTGTGCACTCCAACAAGAGAGACATCTCTAACTTCCTAAATGGTCAGATCAACTTCTATTTGGAAAGGGTCTGAAGAATTGACAGGAAAGTCAGCTTGTTCTGGATTTAATAAAGAGTAAAGGGGTTCTTCCTGAATTTTCTTGGGCTCCTTGAATTTAAATCAACAGTACAGGATACTCTTAAAAAGTCTATGTAAATAAAAATCTTTAACTCTCTCAAATTAATCAAAAAGTATCATATGATAACTTATAATCATTTAGCTATCAACTTATTTTAAAATTATTTACATAGACATAATTTTAGTATTACAGAGAAGTTACAAAAATAATACAGAGATCCCATATATCCTTATATTTCCCTCTAATGTTAACATCTTGTATAACCAGAGTACAATTACCTAAACCAGGAAATTAACATTCATCTACAACTAATTTTCCCCCTAATGTCTTTCTGTTTCAGAATTCAATCCAGAATTACACTTTGCAGTAGTTGTCATGTCTCCTTTGTATCCTCCAATTTGTGATAGTTTCTCCTTTTCTTTCCAGACCTTGACACTTCTGAAGAATATTGGTCACATACTTTATATAACGTCCGTACAATCTGGGTTTGTCTGATGTTTTCTCATGATTAGATTGAGGTTATTCATTTTTGAGCAAAAACGCCACAGAAAGGATGTTAAGACCCTCTTATCCCATTATATAAGGAATGTATGATGCCAATGTCATCATAGTGGTAATGTTAAACTTGATCAGTTGGTTAAGATAGTGTGTCTTGCTGGTTTTCTCAGCTCTTAGGTTACTATATTTTCCTTTCTACTTAATAAATATCTTAGAGGAGGTACTCTGAGATTATAAAAAAACACCCTGTTTCTCCTCAAACTGTCATGGACTAATTTTAGCATTGACAGACAGATTTTTTTCTCTGCAAAAGTTATTACTTTTGTTATGGTATTCTAATGGTGATTTGTTATCTTCCTGAGTTCTACCAGCTCTACATTTATGAAAGACCTGCCCCTTCTCCCTAATTTATTTGTTCATTCATTCAATTATTTATTTATATCATTAGAGCCTCATGTGGTGGTTTGTTGTTTTAGTTGCTAAGTTGTGTTTGACTCTTGTGACCCCACGGATTGTAGCCTGCCAGGCTTCTCTGTCCATGGGAGTCTCCAGGCAAGATGGAGTGGGTTGCCATGCCCTCTTCCAGGGGATCTTCCCAACCCAGGGATCGAACCCAGGTCTCCTGCATTGCAGGCAGATTCTTTACCGACTGAGCTATGAGGGAAGCCCCCAGAGCCTCATGGATCTATTTTATTCTTTGGGTTATAATTCAGTATTACTCTTAATTATTTTGATGCTCAAATTGTTCTACCTTTGGTCACTGGGAGCTCTTTCAGAATGGCTTGCACCTATGTACTTTTGACACATCCCACTCTTTTTTTGAGTACTTTTTAAACTTCCTACATCACAACGTGCCCTAGGCATCTTCCACTTGATTATAAAGCTATTGATTTTATATGTTAATGTCATATCCTGCCACCTTGCTGAATTCTTTTTTTTGTGTGATTTTTTAAATTTGATTTATCCAATAAATGGAGAACATTCTGTGAATTTAACACTATTGGGTTGCTTTCTCTGACCTCTCAAGTTCGAGACATTTTAAAAGATTAATTTATTTATTTAAAAAAATTAATTTATTTATTTTAATTGGAGGCTAATTACTTTACAATATTGTAGTGGTTTTTGCCATACATTGACATGAATCAGCCATGGGTGTACATGTGTCCCCCATCCTGAACCCCCCTCCCATCTCCCCCACCATCCCATCCCTCAGGGTTGTCCCAGGGCACCGGCTTTGAGTGCCTTGTTTCATGCATCGAACTTGGACTGGTGATCTATTTCACATGTGGTAATATACATGTTTCAATGCTATTCTCTCAAATCATCCCACCCTCACCTTCTCCCACAGAGTCCAAAAGTCTGTTCTTTATATGTGTGTCTCTTTTGCTGTCTTGCATATAGGGTCATCATTACCATGAAAGTTGAAGTACAGAGTATGATACAATAAAGCAATTAATTCTCAGTTGGTGTAGTCTGTTTAAACTGACATTTCACAAAGTACAGGACTAAACGATCATATAATCAAATGATGTCATTTAAATGAATAAGGACTCATTCCATTTGCTACTTTGCAGAGACAACTCTGCAAATGCCTATTGGTTTCATTTAGGGAAGATTTAGAATTAATAATATGACCTGAACAGGAAACCAATGTTGAACATGCTGGTGATGAGGTGGTAACAAAATGACCTTCCTATGAAGAATCCCAGCCAATTAATTGGGTACTGTGTGGGGAGAAAGCTAAGTCTGTAGGAAACAAAAATGGAAGGTTTATTACATAATGCTTTGTATAAGGAAGTAAGAGGATCACAGACATATCTATTAACATATTTTGCACAGAGCTCAGTGTTCTGGGTGGCCAGTGGGAGAAACTGAATCACCATTTTGCTGAACACTCTGAACCATCTCTATAAATTACCCGAGTGCCTTTAATGAGACAGTGGTTAAGAAGCGGTGGCAATTTACAATTGTGCTCAACTACTGCCTCTGTGAAACAGGGTTCTGTGGGAAATCCTACCTTAGCTCTGGAAAGACTACTACAACCAAGTATTTTTCAACCTCCTAAAATATTTCACTATTTTCCATATGATATATTTCTCAAAATAAATCAACTGACTGCAAAGTCATGCTTTGGGTTTAGTAACAATCACACAGCATATACCATGTCTTCATATCTGATATAACTGCTTATGAAAATCTGTTCTGTAGCATTTTCTAAGTAGCCTAGAGACACGGAAGTGGGCTGAATGGTGCCCCCCCAACTCCAAAAACATGTCCACATCCTAATTTCTGGAACCTGTCAATGTTACCTTACTTTAGAAATGAGTTCTTTGCAGATAAAAATAATTTAAGGATTCTGAGATGAAAGGATCATCCTGGAAAATCCAGGTGGGCCTTAAACCCAGTAACAAGTATCTTTATAAGAGAAAGGCAGAGGCAAATTTGAGACAGAAGAGACGGGAGTACAACCATGGAGGTAGAGACTGGAATGATTCATTAATCCACAAATCAATAAGTGCTGACAGCTATCAGAACCTGGAAGAGCAAAGAACAGAATTTCCCTAAAGTTTCTGGAGGGAGCAATCTGGTCAATTTTGGACTTCTGACCTTTAGAATTGTGAGAAAATAAATTCCTGTTGTTTTAAGCCATCCAGTTTGTGGTACTTTGTTACAGCAGCCCTAGGAAACTAATACACACATTTACCAAACAGAAGAGAAACTTGAAGACTCTAGACAAAGAGAAAAAGCAGAGGCCAATGAAATTTGGCTCTTGTCCATTGCTTCAGAAATAGCAAACCTCCAGGGAACAGGAACTCTGTGAAGTCTGGGGAACCTGGGATTGCAGAAATACCAATCAATTCATACCTATTTTTCTTAAGCACATGAAAGCTAAATCCAATGACTACTGTAATCTTTTCTTCCACCTTTAGAAAAAAAGACTTACATGGTAAACTCGATTTCAATTTTACAAGCTAGCCAGATTAAATAGCATCAGATCCAAGGTTTCCAGAGAAGCATTTTTACTCAAGGCAGAGTGCAAGAGTCTGCCTTATCTTGCTGTAGAAGTCAAACATTTCAAGTATGAAGCAGAACATAAAATGCTGAAGAGGGGATAGGAATGCAAGTTCAGTACTCAGGAAGATATCTGCAAAGTGATACAAAATATATTTACCAGACTGGTCTCATGAATTTGCTTCTGGTAAGAAAAGGTATTTTTCAAGGTTTTTAAAATAAACATGGGCAAACAAAATAGTTATAGTGTATCCTGACAGAGGTATCAGTTTTATACACATATAGTAGTACACACATACATTCATATTTGTATATATTTTCATAAACAATAAAAAGATAAGCCAAGAACTTACAAAGAAAACCATTTAACACTGAGAAACGGGGAGAAAATAGGGACAAGAGAGACAAAAGCTGGCTCTCTCTCTGTATGTATTTTGTTTCATAGTTTGATATTTGAACCAAACAAATGTTTCAAATGGTTAAAAATAAATTAAAAATCTTTATAAAGAAAGGAATATGTGTCTAAGGACAGACTGCTAGGATTGGTCTACTAATTTTACCACTTACTAGTTTGGGGAAGTTGTCTAAATTGTCTATGTCTCAGTTTACTTATCTGTAAAACAAGAATAAGAACACTTAACCTCACTGGGGTAGTTGTAGGGATTAAATAGGTGAATTTATGTAAAGATCTTTAGCATGGTATTGGGCTCATGGTAATTGTTAAATAAACTCCAGCTGCAGTTATTTTACTATCATCAACATAGTCTCAGATTTAGTTCTAAAAGCAGAAAGTTCTCTTTTCCAGTCCATAAATTAATTGTTGATAGGTAAAAGGAGATGTGAGTTCATGGCTCAACTAAAACGTGGATGGTTTGACTTCCAAAGACAGTGTTTCCAAGCAAGAGCCCCATCGAGAACTTTAACCAACATTCTATAGGTCACGAGGTAATGCAGAAACTTCACAAAATGAAACATGGCTATTTGCTGCTAAATTAAAGATTGTGAATGAGGGATCTGGATGTTGACACTGACCTAGGTAATGAAGTTTAGAAGTTTTACAAGTTCTTAATTGTTTGCCTACTTTATATGCACTGGTAGTTTCCCCAAAAGTTCCTGAAACAAAAAGACTTTGTACTTACCAGATATCTGCTCATTTATGGTCAAAGAGGGAATTCACAGCCTAACATACAGCCCAGAAGCTATGCCAAGTCCAACAGTGCATGCCCATCCTGGCCTCTCAGATGCTTGCAGAAACAAAGGAGGCCTCACTATGAATTCA